GTAATTTTATATATAAAGGACATCATATTAAGATAATAAAGATTAACTTGTATTTTTACAATCATTAAAATACCGTTCGAGAAACTATTATCGTTAAGAAAGTAAACATTACACAGAAAAGATGACAAAGGGAGGCGTTGGTTGGGTAAGTGTTTTAAGAATGGTGGTGGTGGTGGTTATCGCCGCCACTCATCATCACTCTAGTTATTATTTAAGAAATGTTCTATATAGTTTACTATAAATCATGATATTCATTCATCGCAACTTATTGCAGTTCTATTTTTATTTAGTAATCATAATCTACCGCCGTCGTCATCATCAAATCAACTCTTGAAACATGACATCTATTTATTACAAATTAATGTTTGAATTTTTCACTTTTGAATTAATCATAATAATAGTATTGAAGAATCCTACAAACCTAATTCTTTGTTGTTTTATCTAGAATGAAGATATAAATAAATATCCATGGGAAATAAATGGAAAAGAAATGCACAAAAAACTTCAAAGATCCATCAGAAGCACTAAAATTGATCATTTTCTATATAATGAACCCATCTTATCGTCAATTGTGGATACAGTAGACCAGGGTTGGAAAATTGACTGGTCCATTGAGAACAGATGGATTTTGGACTGGTCCATTGCCATTAATAAAATACCAAATATGGTTAAATTGTCACACTAATAGACCCAATAGACCGCCAATAGACCATCTATGGACCACACATTTGCCAACCCTGCAGTAGACCCATCATCATGGTTACAAAATAGCTTTAGCAATCAATAATTAATTTCAGGCATTGAATTATTGTAAAATTAGATCAAACTTAATTATTCCTTGTTATGGTATAACTAAATTCCCAGAAAATGGAAATTATGCAATAGTTCTTGATTACCTGCAAGAGGGAAATTTAAGAAGTTATATACGAAAAAATCACTATAATTTAACATCAAAGGATAGAATTGATATTTTTAGATATTTATGTGAATCATTATATTTTATACATGAAAAAGATATTATTGCAAGGAGGTGTTTGTTTATCACAGATCTAGGATTATGTGGACCAGTTGATGAAAAATTATCAAATAAAATCTATGAAATTGTACCTTACATTGCACCAGAACTATTTAGAGGAAAAAATCGCACAAAAGAATCAGATGTTTATAGTGTTGGGATGTTAATGTGGGAAATATTTACAGGACATCCACCATTTAATGATACAGCACATGATTTTCATTTGCAAATAAAAATATGTGCAGGTTTACGACCACTGATATTACCAGGAGTGCCTGGTGATTATGCATAATTGATGCAAAGATGTTGGATGTGGATCCAGCAAAGAGACCAACTATTGGAGAGCTTTTGAAATTTGCTCTTAATAAACTTAAAACTGGGAGTTCTAATGAAGGTAGTAGTAGTAATATTGGTGGTGGTAGTAATTCAAAACAAATTTACAAACCACATCCATTAGCATATCATACAAGCAGGATATTAAGTGATGAGTTTGTTAAATTGAATTTAAGTAATTATAGCCTATTAAATCATGAAATATAATTTTAATAAGGCAAATAGTTTATTAATTAACTGAAATCCATTAGATTATTTGTGATAATAAGGTTAAAGTTGGAGAATTGGGTGAATTGTTGATGGGTAGATAATCTCTATTTTCATTATTTTTCATAAGGGAAATTAGATTTTGTGCAAATTCATCCTGGCTGCAAAAAAGAACAATCTTTTTTTTAATAAATTTAGCCCTTTAAAAACTTTGTTGGTCATAATGTATTTATTCTCATATTAATTGTGAATGAAAATGACATTTCAAGTGAAATTATACAACCATCATGTTTTTAGAGAACATTCCTAAAGATAGTGATGTCACTGAGTAAAAGGAGGAGGAGCTAGATGTCAAAGCTAATATAAAATCGGAGGATCCTTCTTTTTCTTTTACTAAGATCTATATTTACATTAAGTGCCAATATCATCATATGTCAAATTTCTTCATTCTTTTATTGGTTTTCTAAGAGTCATTATCAATTGCATCTTTTAAAATTTCAGCAACAGGACTTTTCTTGCCAATATGAAAAGCATTTGACAATTCTATATTTGCATGAAATGGCGCCCTTTTTTTTAAAGCAGTTAAATATTTTATTTTATAAAGAACTTGAATGGGAAAAATCGAAATTGATTTCTAATACAAATAGAAGTAATCCCATAATTTTTAATGTCATGTGAATTATTGTCAGTTAAGGCATACAATGCAGGGTTGGAAAATTGACTGATCCATTGAGAACAGATGGATTTTGGACTGGTCCATTGCCATTAATAAAATACCAAATATGGTTAAATTGTCACACTAATAGACCCAATAGACCGCCAATAGACCATCTATGGACCACACATTTGCCAACCCTGCAGTAGACCCATCATCATGGTTACAAAATAGCTTTAGCAATCATGAATGGTCTATAATCAAAGATACATCTCATTCTCATTATAAACAGTTTCAAACCAGTAACTGTCACTTGCTGAAATCTGGTGAAATCAGAGACATTTTAAATCATTTGTGAGTTTTGATTGATTGTATTTTTAGATTTTTGTCTTTAAAAATATCTAATTCAGAAAACAAACTTTTTACTATATAGTAAACGCATACATCATCTTAAAGATTATTTATTAGAAGACGAAGAAGTGATTGAAGGAACATGGACCTCTGATGGTATAATTACACCTTTGAAGATTGCATCTTGTGCAATACCTGATATAAGATTGTACAGCCCAGAAAAACAATCTAAAGCATCAAAAAGAAGACGCATCATTAGCAAAAGTGATAATTTAAATCTTGACAAAGAGAATTTGAATTCTCAAAAGGTATTTATTGATTTTTGAAAATATATTAATATGATCCATATATTAATATCAATCATTATCATTATTTAGAAGAAACGAGAACCTATAGGTAAAAAACCGGATTTATGTTTAAAATTAAGACCATCAGATAAAATTATTTAATGATTTGAGCTGCTAGTTGGGGAAATTGCATATTCACCATGGGATGAGGATGATATAAAAACAAGAAATGATCAATTAAAGCTCTACAGAATGATGAAAGATTTATTTGATGATATTATGAAAACCAATATTCTGAAATATGATAAATTTGTAACAGCTGATATGTTTAAGTCACTGGAAATATATGGAATTTTGATAAAGGGTATTATATATTTAAATTATATAGGATGTCATGCCAAATGTTCATTGAAATCCTATATTGCATGTAAAATTGACATTAATTCTTTTTTGTTTTTAGGCTTTCAAATGTTTGTTTTTGTATTAGACAAACCTGGATTTGGGTTGTATAGAATTCGCAAAGTTGATGAACTCACGATCCCTGTGAAAGAAAAAAATGATGATGTTATAAAAGTTTATGAATCTTTGATGGTATGTGAAAATATTTATGAATTTTGAAGTTTTAAAAAAGTACTTATATTATTTTAACGTCTTAAAAAAAATTATTCTTAAAAGTTTGCTGTTAAAAAAACCAAAGAATTCATTGATGAGTTACATGAGAATTTAAGAACTAAGAAGAAGGAAGATAATGATCCTTGGTTACTTTCATCTATGCCACCAACTTGCAAATCACCTATAAGATAACTATAAACATCATACCATGCAAAAATATCTTGCTATATATAATAATTTAGGAATTTATTATTACACTTTCTTTTTTTCAATTTTATATTTTTTAACTTTAAATTAGCAGATTTAAAATTATTGTTAATTCAGTTATCTATTGCTTATATTTTTAGTGAAATAACACTTTTTATATAAATATATAATAAAAATTATACATTTTAACATCATAGACACTGGTCAAAAAAGTACAATTCAGTGTATATTTATCTTGGCTGAATTTTAGCCTAATTGATATCTAATCTGCATCAAAGTGAGGTCTAATTTTTTGGTGCAATTAGGTTGCCAATGGTCTTGTATTTGGATAAATTATTCAACCAACATTCATAATTCATCTGACCTAAATGTATAATTATATTACATGTTGAATTGACTTTAAAAAGGCCAGTGTTCAACTTTTTATTGATTCATGTATTACATATCAATTTTATTTAAATGTCAATTAATTGAAATAAACTAATACTAGTATTTATTTAATCATTTGTTATTAACTAATAATACAAATAAAAAAGCTATAAAATCTATTCTAATTAATCACTAAATCATTATTCTCATCAGTCTCATCAAATAATTCTTCTTCCTCTTGTTGAACCTTCATCTTGATGGATTCTTTCTTTTTTTTTCTAATAAATAATATAAAAAAAATTTTATCAGTCTTTAATATGAAATAATAAAATCATTTGACTTCTCATTTGTAAGCAATTCAATTATTTCAACTCGGTTGTATTCGAATTTATTCTAATATTTTCTAATCCATTCTTTGTATAGTTTATTGGTTAAATCATGTAGACAAGTCATGTTATCTTTACAATTTCAAGAATTATAAATAAGCTTGGAATTTCCTCAATAATAATCAACTGAATCTTAATGTCCATCTTAACACTTTAATAAACATATAACCCTTATATAGTCTTTGATTGTAATTAATTAATAAACCATTGTGATTGATCTTAAAACCTTTCTAATAATTAATGGCTTGGCCAACCTTTAATTATTAGTTAGGATCCCTTTTGATTTTACTGTATTGCTTGGTGGGATGCCTCAAATAGCATAGTTGTATATACTTCTTTATTTCTTGTCATTATTTAATAGATATCATGTGCAGCTGGAGGATAAAACAGAGGAGAGCTACTACTAGAATTCGTCTGCAATAAAAAGGCAGTTTAGTAGCCAATACTAAAATAATAGCAGGTTAGTGGCTAACACTAATAGGGAAATCTAGCTAGTAAGTAAAGATCTTGGAAACATCTGAAGTTTATTGGTAAAAGGAACTACCAACTATATATTATTGAAAAACCTATATATACATTATTGGACACATAATAGTTAGTGCTTAGAAAGCATATTTTAGCAATTACTCAGATTGCACACTTGCAATACCTGTTCTTGCTCTTTTGTTTGATACTTTGAGGTATTTGGAATTGCTGATATTGCCCAAGCTCAGTTTTCAAAGTTTCATTTTCATTTTTGAATATTTCCTAAGCAAAATATTATCTTCTTCAACTAGCTGAAAATGACTTTCTAAATCTTTGATTTTTCTTTTTAACTCAATTTCTTTTACTTGCTGTTGATATAATTCAGTTTGTAACTGCCCATTTTCCTTCTTTAATTTTTCAATTTCTAAATCATTTATTGAGTTTTACATTGAGGAATATATATAGTGTGAAATAGTGATTTAAGAATCACGAGAAATTTAAAAAATAAATAAATCGGTAATGATTTACAAAAAGAAGTCTATTACTCAATATAATAAACCAATAAAATAATTAAATTGTAACATTTCTTTAATTCTGAATCCAAAATTATTCATTCAAGCTTATAAATATCTTAAAAGAAAAGTCTTGTTTATTTTTAATTAGAACAAATTAAGAATTCACAGAAATCAGAGAACTAGATAATAGAACCTTCTTTACAGGAAGAATGAATGGAAAGAATAATGATCATTAACAATGAATTAATAATTATGATCATTTTTTTAATAACAAACTGTCTTTAATCTTGACCTTGACCTTGACCTTATCTTTGAATTATATATTTTCGTAATGATGATAAAACTACCTCTAACAATGAATTCATACCAATTCTGTGCATAATTAATTTCTTTTATTTTATATTTATCTCTATTCTTATTATTATTTTTTATTTCTTTTCTTTTAGTAAGTAAATCATAAATACATATTCGTGGAAATTGTTGTTATGATTTAGTATGTATGAGTTAGAAGAAACTGTTTTATTGTATTGACATTTACATTAAATAAATATTGAAATTGTGAGATTTGGACACAATCTCACAATAGTCTAATTAATGTATAACAATTTCGTTTTATTTGATGTTGTTTAGAATGTATCACTACTTGTTTCATTGGTCCTCAGTATTTTAATGTTATAGGATCTAGGAATCTTGATTTTGAATTGGGAGGCATTTATAGTTAATATTGATCCCTGAAATTCTTAGTAATACCAATGTTCACTTTGTCTGGTATTGTTGCAGCATGCCCCATGTATGTTATTCTGTAATATTTAGTTAATTCCTCAAGATCTTACATTTGACTCAAGTCGGAATCCACCAGCTTTTGTTGAAAATGAAAATGTATTTGCAATTTGTATTTGTTATATTTTTTTAAAATCTTTTTTTTTTCTTTTGAAAAAAATTTGTTTATTTATTTAAACAGACAGTGCTAGAAAAAGGCAGTCATGTAAGGATCAAAATAGTTGGAACAAGGTTTGACGCAACTGATATTGTAAGTTAATAAAGATATAATATTTTTAATATCATTGGAAAAAATATATAATTATTATTGTTATTTTTAGTTTGCAATTGGTACAATCAAAAAAGATTTTTGTGGAATTATAGAAAGAATTTGATTTTAAATACTTTCTTTATTATAATGAATGGATGATTTTAAAAATTAAAGTTAATAAAAATATTAAACTATTGTTATGAAATAGAAACAAATGTATATTAATTATAATAATTGCTCATGCAATATAATGATTAATTAATTTATCTGCTGTTGAGTAAATTTCTTCGAATTCAGCTACATATTATATATATAAAATAAATAATAAATTTTAGAAATTATATGTAATATATATAATGTTCATTACATGGCAGAACTTGATAATTTTACAATCAATATCTTCATCAAATAGATCCTCTGCAAGTTCCTGAAAGTGTTTTAAAGCCAGTAGTAATATGTATTTGGTCTATACTTAATTTCATAATTAATAAATCCTAGATCTTGATATCTTTTTAATATTTCTAGTGTAACTATTTCTGATGAATTTTTTAACGTAAATTTCAATTTAAAAGGTTTGGGTCCTTTCCAATTATCCATTAAAAGATCCAAAGAACCATTGTTGGAAAAAGTTGGTTTTTTTTGAAAAGAAATGGAGTTTAGATTTTTTGGTAATGTTTGATTTAATACTTGGAATATTTTATCACCATTAAATACATAATTCCTATAATTGTTGGTGAATGTAATATGTTTCAATCTTTTACAATTGTTTAATATGCAAGCTAATTGTTGGTCTAATTCATTTCTATAATTTATTGACAAATATTCTAGGCGTTGACAGCTTTGTCCAATTGATTGAACCATTTCTGGCCAATCTATTTCATCAGCTGCATATCTTTTAATTGACAAATCTTTAAGATCTTTTCCATTCTTTTTAATAAAATTTATCAATTCTAAAAGAAATGAATTCTCGGAACTTGATATTTCAAGTTCTTCTTGATTTCGAAATGTAGTATATAAAAAAGGTTTTACATTTTTATTACTTTTTAAATTTAGATACTCTAGGTTTTGAAATTTCTGTACTAATAGAAGATCTAAATTACTCTTTCCAATACTTTCGTAGTAGATTATTGAATTTGAATGTTTTGAAACTGCATTTATTAATTTATCAGAAAAAACTATATAATTTTTTAAAAAAATGTATAATTCTTTGATTTGATTTTGAGCTTCAATAAGTTGAGCTAGACTATCATTATTAAGATTGTCATCCTTTAAATGGTTAAGAAAATTACCTATCTCTAAAGATTGAATATTTCTACATATCTTAGCTAGTTTATTAAACAATTCACAACTATTAAAAAAATCACATTCCAATCCACTGAGACTCTCAAAACAGACATTAAATCTAGGATGATCAATTAACCATTCACATTTTAAATTATAAGTTGAAAGAATACTAATAGTTGTTGAGTGATCCAAAACAAATTTGATCAGTCTTTCCTTTAAACAATTGATCTTCGTAACATCAGAGTTATCTATCAGCTCTTCTAAATATTTATCACGATACAACAACATTAATTCTTTATTAAATTTTGCATAATTGTATAATGTTGGTTTGTCCAATAATTGAAAATTCAATTTAATGTTATTTTTTGAAAAAAAGTCATTATCTTCTTCTAATAAACAATTAATTAATATTTTAATACTGCCAGCAAAACATAACGGTTTTCTCCATAATGCTGGAATATTAATATTATGCCATTGTTTATTAACCTGAATGCATGAATATAATGTACCATAATCTTTTTCTATATTTTTAAAGATTGTTATCATAAGTTCTAGTGGTAAAATCGTTGTAAACATTTTTTTTTTTCCTGTTGTAGATGAGAAAGACAAATCTTTGTCAATTTGACATTTTCCTTATTTGATTTGCGATAAACCAATCAAAATTATTTATGACATCATTAACGTGACTCGATGAATATTAATATTAATGATAATTTTAATTAAATATTAACGTTAATATTCAATCAAGAAAATACTCGTTTTCGAAATATTAATATCATTAGCATTAGTATTAGTATTAATATTAATATTAGTATATTAGTGTTACTAATAGTATTAGTCTTAGTATTGGAGAAATTCGAGATTGAAATTCGAAATTAGTATTAGTATTAGTAGTATTAGTATTAGTATTAATATTAATATTAATTGGTATTAATAATAATAAAGTAATATTAATATCCGTGACAAAGTGGACCGACTATACGCCACTGTGATGAACCTAATTTGTATAATAGTGCATTGTGATTGTGATTGTGTGATATTAAAGAGATGGCGAGCGGGTATGAACGGGATGTGTAGTGATGCAATTCAACAGCATCCATATAAGATTAATGGGTGTAAAAAATCCCAAAATCGTAGCTCAAGTGAGTATTAAGTTGTTCTCAACTTATCCTCGTGATTATATTCTTCTGGATTATTAGTAACACCTACCAAGAAGTATCTGATTATACAAAAAATTATATCAATTTGTAGCTTAAGTTTTGAAGGTCATGTGCATAAAATTTCATACTTTTGTATTTTCTAGAACTTTATCAATTGAAAAAGGAATCCTCTAAAGTCTATAAAATAATTTTGCAATTTTTACATGTGATAGTCTAAAATCTTCCGATTCTCTTGTGTGATTTTGGTTAGAAAACAATTTTAGATAACTCATGCACCATTCTTTCCACACTTGAGGATAATAATAATAACAATAATTGAAAAAAGAAAAAAGAGATATCGAAATGCAATAATAATAATAAGAGTCACGTTTCTAATGTAAATATTTATGTACCACCCCGATGTTACACATGACTTCGGAGTAATTTGTTACATTCTCCCCTCCTTAAGATTTGACGTCCTCGTCAATTCAAATTCTTTAACTTTTCTCTCTGCATTCTTCAAATGTTCAGCAGGTTCCCAAGTTGCATCATGTAATGGATAACCTTTCCATTTAACTAAATAATGTGGTTTTGTTCGTACTAACTTTTTATCAAGGATACTTTCTACTTCATATTCTTCTTCTTCTATTTCAGGAATGATAATTGCTGGTGGTGGTGTGGGTCGATTGAAATTATCAGGTGTTTCTTGGTAGTGTTTTAATAAAGAAACATGGAAAACAGGATGAATCTTTAAATTTCCTGGTAAGTTTAATTTGTACGCAGTTGTAGAAACTTCAGCAATGATTGTGTATGGTCCCATGTATTTTGGTGCAAGCTTCTTGGTTGGTCGATTCTTATCAATTGGTGTAGTTATATGTCGTGTAGACAACAAGACCTTATCTCCTACTTTGTATTCTTCGTAGCGTCGATTTTGATTAGAGTATTTTACTTGTCTTTCTTGAGCAATCATCAAAGTATCTTTTGCGACTTGAATCATAGTGTCCCAATGATTCAAGAAATCATCTGCTGCTGGTACTTGCGTGTTTTTCTTTGCTGCTAATGAACTAGGAGTGTTTGGGTGTTGACCACAATCCAATTCGAATGGTGTATGTCCAGTTGAAGGTTGTTTGGAATTGTTGTAAGCAAATTCAGCGGCAGGTAGATATTCATCCCAATTGTCTTGTTTGTATGAGGAGTATGCACGTAACATTTCTTCCAGTGTTCTATTCATCCGTTCCGTTTGTCCGTCTGTTTGTGGGTGAAATGCAGTTGATAAAGCCAATTTAGTTCCTACTTGTTCAAATAATGTTTTCCAAAAACGACTAGTGAATTTCGCATCTCTATCTGAAATAATAACTTGAGGTAGACCATGATTTTTAAAAATAGTGGAAAAGAAGATTTTTGCAACTTCCGGTGCAGTCACTGATGTATGTGTTGGACAAAAGTGTGCACGTTTTGATAGTCGGTCTACAATTACTACAATTGCATCATATCCTCCACGTGTTGTTGGTAATTGCACTATAAAATCCATTGTGACTTGTTCCCAACGTTTTGCTGGTGTTGGAAGTGGTTGTAAAAGTCCTGCTGGTTGTTTGTTGCTACTTTTATTCCTTTGACATGAGTCACAGCTTGTTACATATTTTTGAACATCTTTTCCCATTTTTGGCCAAAAATAATCTCTTCGAATGGCTTCGTATGTTTTATCAATTCCCAAGTGTCCAGCAATAGGAATGTCATGGTATTCTTGCAACAAACTAGTCCGCAATTCTTTGTTTTTAGGAATAGCAAGTTGTTGGCCTTGTTTCAAGTATAATTTGTTATTTCTTAATTCGTAATGTACAGCTCGTGCCTTTTGTTTTTCATCACTCTTTTCTAAGTTTTTCAATGCTTCGAAAATTGGTGCAAAATACTTGTCCTGGTGATATCCTTTTTCTAACGTTTCTTCTGTCAAGTAAGTTGACACACTGGTGATATTGGCAAGGTGAGGTGGACGAGAAAGTGCATCAGCCACTACGTTTGTTTTCCCGGGTCGATATTTCACCTCAAAAGTACTTGATTGTAACACTTCTAACCATCGAGCTTGTCTTCTTGATAAATTTGCTTGTGTCTTAATAAATTCTAATGATGCATGGTCAGTTACAACAGTAAATTTTTGCCCTTCTATATAAGTCCGCCACAATTTAATGGCATGCACGATTGCTAATAATTCTTTCTCGTGTACAGGGTAGTTTTGTTCTGCTGGTGATAATTTTCTTGATTCATATGCAACAGGTTGTTCTCCTTTCCCTTGGTCTTGACTTAGCACTGCTCCAATTGCAATTTCTGATGCATCTGTGGTTACAATAAAGGGTTTAGTTGGGTCTGGAAGTGCTAACACAGGTGCAGATGTTAACAATCTTTTAAGTTCGTTAAAAGCTACTTGTTGTGCATTATCCCACTTATATGGTTGGTCCTTATGTAACAACAAGGTCAATGGTGTAGCAATGGTAGAAAATCCCTTGACAAACTTTCGATAATAGCTAGCAAGTCCTAAGAAAGATCTTAACTCTGAGACATTAGTGGGTTTAGGCCATTCCTTGACAGCTGAAATTTTTCTTGAATCAACAGATATTCCTTCCGATGAAATGTAGTGTCCCAAATACTCAACTTTTTGTTTCAAGATTTCACATTTACTAAGTTTGGCATATAGACGATGTTTTCTAAGAATTTGTAAAACTTGTTGCAAGTGTTGTAAATGCTCTTCTCTGGTTTTACTATAAATTAAGATGTCATCCAAATATACAATTACAAATTGATCTAGGAATTCCCGAAAAATGTCATTCATCAAAGTCATGAATGTTGCTGGTGCATTAGTCAGACCAAAAGGAAGTACAAGAAATTCATAATGACCATATCTAGTTCGAAAAGCAGTTTTATGGATGTCTTCTTCTTTAATACGGATTTGATGGTATCCAGAATACAAATCAATTTTAGTGAAATACTTTGCTCCAACAAGTCTATCCATCAAGTCTTCAATGCGAGGCAATGGGTATCTATTTTTGATAGTAATTTTGTTTAATGCCCGATAGTCAACACAAAGACGCAATGTACCATCTTTCTTATGAACGAATAACACAGGTGCTCCAAATGGTGATGTACTGGGTCGAACATATCCTTTCTTTAATAAGTCTGCAAGTTGTTTCTTCAGTTCATTAGTTTCTTCATATGACATTCGATAAATAGCGCGAGAAGGGGGTTCAGCTCCAGGTGTTAGTTTAATGGCATGATCAACAGTTCTCTTTGGGGGTAATTGATTAGGCAAGGACTCAGGAAATACATCGGTAAACTTTTGTATCATTGTAGTGACATCTGGTTGAATTGCATCAGTTGCTGTTGGCTTAACCTCATTAATATATACAGCAAAAAGTTCAGCACTTGTAGGTACCTTTGCTAACTGTTGGCGGGAAATATACACAGAATGGCAGCTAGGATTGGTTGTTGTTTTGTTGGAATTGGCCTTTACAACAATAGTTTTTGATCCATAGTGGAAGGTCATGGTGTTATCCCTCCAATTGATGTTGGGGTTGGCGTGAAACAACCAGGGTTTTCCCAAGATGGCGTCGTATCGTTGTAACCCAATGACTTGAGCAACAATCCCTGTAGTGTGGTATGTATCTAATTCCAAATTTTTAATATTGACTATCTTGTTAGTTCCCATCTTCCTTCCGTCTGCTAGTTCTACTGTTACATGATCAATACTCTGAGTCTGAATGCCTTGTCGTTCAACAAATTGTTTATCTAAGAAATTTCGTGATGCTCCACTATCAATCAGAATTCGAGCAGGGTATCCATTTATTTTTCCTTGAAGTCGGATAAGTTGTTCTCTATTTTCTTCTATGTTTGAAAATTCAACATTATTGTTATTGCCATTACCGTTTTGTTCATTGTTTTCAATGTTGGAAATTTTTGCCTTGCCTCTTCTGCAGTCACGAGCGTAATGTCCTGTAATACCACATTTATAACAATTTCCTTTAGGCTTTTTGTCATTGCCCTTATTATTATTGTTATAAAAATTTCGGCGGGGGGTTTCTGCTTGGTCTAATTCCATAGGAACATATCCGTTATTGTCATTATTACTATTATGATAATTATTGCTATTGTTGTTGTTATAGTTGCTATGATTATTGTTTCTTTGGTTACGTTTTGAGGAGGAGGCTTTTGTAAATTGACTATTGTTTGAAAAAGGTCTTCCACTTCCAAACATTGCGGTATCGAATTGAATGGCACGTGCAGTAGCTTTTTCCAAAGTGTCTGGAGCTTGGTAGGCCACTTCCATTCTCGTGGATGGCTTTAAACCGTCTATATAATAAGTTACCTGGTCCAATTCTCCCATACCCTCAATCTGTCCAATTAAATTCTGAAATTGAGACGTGTACTCTTGCACAGTGCTAGTTTGTCGTAGTCTTTTAAGTTGTTGTCGGAGATATTGTTGATAGTTTGGTGGCTGAAAAGCAGTTCTCAGGGCATTGGCAAAAGTGTCCCAAGTAGTATATGGTGGTGTATTATTATTTCCTACAACTTTGTTTAAATACCAGTGTAGCGCTGCATCTTTGAATCCAGTTGTAGCATAATTAATTTGGGTGGCTTCATTAGTGATTCCTTGCGTTCTTAGAACATTTTGTGCTTGTAATAACCATGCTACGACATTTTCTTTCACTTCTCCTTTAAAAGGGGGAATTTGTACCGAGATTTTTGGAGGAGCAGCTCCTGTATTTTGGGGGGTCCCTTGTTGTTGTTGTCCTAACGTTTGGGTCAGTTGTTGCTGAGATTGTACCAATTGTCCCAAGGCAGCTATCAAATTATTAATGTCTGTCATTTTGTGTGTATAAGAATAATATCGATATGTGTGTAAATATGTGAAGTGTTAGTATGTGTGTGTGGGTGTAGATATAAAACGTCCGCTGCTACCAAGTTGTAATGTTTACTTTTCTTAACGATAATAGTTTCTCGAACGGTATTTTAATGATTGTAAAAATACAAGTTAATCTTTATTATCTTAATATGATGTCCTTTATATATAAAATTACATAGATTGATAAAATATAAATAATAATATAAGATTGATAAAATATAAATAAAATATAAATAATAATAATCATAAGATTCTTATCAATCTATCCGGAAGATTTTGTGGACATAGATAATAATAATAAATATAATTAAAGACACGAAATACAAATAATAATAATAAATGTGTCACGTTTCTAATGTAAATATTTATGTACCACCCTGATGTTACACATGACTTCGGAGTAATTTGTTACAAGCATATCATCCATTTTTTTATCTTTGTGCTTCATTAAGACCATCTCTTCCACTGACAGTGTAATTAATGGAAACCAAAAAATTGAATCAAATTGCTGACCATTTGGGCCATATATAAAACAAGCCCAACTGCATTGTTGAATGTTGATGAGAACATATTTGCTGAAGGACAAATATACATTGCATTGAGCCGAGCTCCTTTGTTAAAAAACTTGCATATTCTCAGTTTAGACTCTGCTCAATTAAAGGTCTCTAAAGCAGCATTAGAAGAATATAAAAGATTGGAAAAGGTTAATACTGAAGAATTGCAAATTTGATAAGGCGGTAAAAAAAAAAATTAATTTATCATGTTATGAAACAAATCAATCTTTTCTACTTGTATTTGTAATTTTTGTTTTTTTGCAATATATATATTAAAAAAAAAAAGGTTTAACAAACAAGCTATTTAATATTAATATTAATATTTAGTTAATTGACGTTTACTGCTCCTGAGAAGAAAATCAATCCATTGTTTTGTCCTTACAAATAAATTCGTGCACGTGCCGCTGCGACGTTTAATTTAAAATCTTGTTTACATAATAACATTAATTGCCGATCCTTTTATAATCGGCAGAAAATTTTCAAATATTATTAAATATAAATTTTAATATAAATTTAAAATCTTAAAAGAACCAATATTAAATTCATTCCTAATGTCAAAAATTCGTTGTATTCCTGTTACTCTTTTAAATAAAGGTGCTTTAGTAAGCGATTTACATTATGGACCATTTTCTTGTTATTGATGGCAGCCTTCTGATAATGGAAAAGTATTCTCTATTCGTGGTTTTCTTTTTGAATCAGTAAGAAACAATCTTTAAAAAATAGGTAGGTGTCTTTGAAAATATACAATAGGTCAATAACATCAACTACTGCATCTTAAAAACAATGGTTATTATTGCTCAAGCACTAGATTATTTTAAAGTCTTTGAAAAAAAAAATAGGTTAATGAATGAACATAAGGATCTTTTGTTTATTCATTTTAAAAAGAATTTATTAATACAGAATTCTAACATTGTATTAATGTTTGTTTTCTTCTATGGTTGAACGTGGATAATTGTTACACAACCATCAAAAATATTCTAAGAGGTAATAATATGAGGACTTTTCAATAGAAACGGATCATGTTGTGAAAATGATGTTTTGAGAAGATGAAAAAAGATCCGCATTTTAACAAAATTTCTGTAATTTATATTAAATTGAGAATTATTCAAGGATCCTGTAAAATATTTTGTGATAGAAGTTATCCAAACCAAAAATGAGCTGAAAATATCCATGAAGAACTAATGGAACATATGGAATATGGAAATATTGAAGAAAAAACAAAAGATTTCAACCATTTCTAATCAGATAACTAGAATCTATGTGGGTTGGAAAAAAACAAATGAGAGAAGAAAAACATTATCTAATTTGTAAATTTAATTTGTTGTATGTCACAGCTTGTTTATTAATATAAGTACATATATAGAAATTATTATCATTTTTTTTATTTGATGATCGCGTAACAAAAGATCCATTTTTGGAAAGATAAATATTAATAATGTTATATATATATAATATACCATAAGAATTATTACCATTAGTAATATATATCAACTAGAATATTTTTGATGGTTGCGTGACAATAATCTATCATTTACTATAGATCTAAACATTAATATTAATACAAGAATTAATATTACCCAACTAGAATATTTTTGATGGTCACATAACAAACATCCATCATTCAAATAAACATTAATGCAATGTTATATATACAGTATTTACTTATTACCATTAGTAATATTAACTAGGGTGTTGGTGTTGATTTTTTCTTTGATGGTAACAATAATAATAGTCATTTGACCATAGATCGGTTTTTTGAATATACATGAAAAACTATTGGAACATGTGGAATATGGAGAGCTTGAAGAAGAAATTCCAAAGATTTCGACATTGCTAATTGGATAACTAGGATCTATGCAGGTTGGAAAAAACAAATGGCCGAAGAAACATTAGATGCTTCTAGTTTGTATATTTAATTTTTTGTCCAATAAAAACGTATAAAATAAATGAATTAATTTAATTTTACATTTTTTGAGTTCGAATCTGTCCCTCCCACTAAGTAAAGTCTTTCTCAAGACAAATGTTTAAAAAAAAATTTCGATATATAAATTAAGATAGATAATATGCGTGATTAAAATTTTAGATTTCGTGAATTTTTTTTTATTGGGGTTGGTCACATTGGTTGATCATCAAACATCAATATATGGTTGGCTCGGTCTAAAGACCTCCTATTGCTGCGCCATGCGGCCAAATTTCAAAATAACAATTTTGTAATTTGTTCAAAAATGTAATAAAATTTTTCAAAAAATAGTACTTCACGTGATTTTAGTTTTCTTACTGCCAAATTTAGATACGATGGTCAAGAGCTAGTCTAAACTTGGTAATATTTTTCCTAAATTTAGAAATGATCATAGCGGACAAATTCCTTGCGAGCATAATAAAGTACATGTTTTAAAAAAGAATAGAACTCTACAACAAATAATTATTTTGATAAAATCTCTCTATTACATTAAAACTAAAGACATATTCTATCAACTAATAGAGCTATTTTTTTAAAAGGTGGGACAGAAAGTGACTTCTATACTTTTAAAATTTGCCCAAAATTTAGGAGGTCTTTAGACCAAGCCAACTATACTATGGCGGATTTTTTAATGTTACACATATATATCATCAAAACATTATCCCTTAAAATGTAGCACAAATTTTGTGTAAGCGTGATGAAATTAAAGACAAAAGTCACTCATTATCTAATCCAATAAATATTTATATATATTATTTTTGCACATTATTATAATTCACATGATGTAATTTTATTTACATAATAATAATTTATTTTTATTTTAATAGGAATAATTTGCATTTTTTAATAATAGCAAACTTTTTGAATTATTTTAAAAAAATTAAAAGAAATTTTCACAACTTATAAAATTTTTTATAGAATACAGTGACCTCATTAAAACTTACGGCGTTATTATTCTTCAAAACTAGGAGTTTAAATTAAAATCATTTTGAATATTTTTTTGTTAGTAGACTTTCAAGCTTTTGCAATTTTTACATAAATTTTTTTTTTGCATTTCTTATTTTAGATAATCCATACAATTTAGTCTTTATTTGAATAAATATTTTCCTTTTCATAATAAATTTTGAAGCAATTTCTATTACTATTACAACATAATGGAACATTACATGATGTACACCAAAAATTAGATAATGGAGGTCTTTGCTCAGTTTTCAATAATAAGTACCTGCACAACATACATGAAAATCTTTTTTCTTTCCATTCTACAAAATGATTATCAGTAGTTAATCTATCATTAGGAAGTTGAGAATTAGAGCCATTTTAATTTTTGATAATTAATGTTTCTTTTTCCTTTCTTCTTCTTGTGGCAAATATTAATAACAATGCAAAAAAATAAAAAATTTTTTGATGTTAATATAAAATGATTGGCATTAGAAGAAAATTTTGTTCATTCACTATGTGATAATCATTGTATGATGTTTGATTTTTTATTATTATGATAGTATTAAAAAGTTTATTCGAATTTAAATGTTTATTCGAATTAAAAATTTAATTCACTTTATTCAAATTATTTGTTTTATTTGTTTTATTCATTATTATTATTGGAATCTTTGGGTTTGTTCACTCATTTTATTAGATTATTTGGAATCGTGGGTTGTTCAATTACTTAAATATTCAAATTATATATACAACAAGGTTTAATATTGATTTTATTATTATAAAAATTGAAATTAAAAATGAAACTAATAAGGAAAGACTGAAACAAGATTCATGTTTCTTTTAATAAATAGCAATCTTTTTAGTGAGCTTGAATTTAAACTGGTCCTTAATTATTTGTTTTATCATAATTAATTTTTTTGAATTATTTGCTTTATTCAAATTAATTTCCTTATTTGAATTAATTTCCTTATTTGAATAGTTTTTATTTGAATCAATTTTTTTATTTGAATCAATTTTCTTATTCAAATTAATTTTCTTATTTGAATAAACCTTATTCAAATAGAAGTCCCACTGAAGAGTCACACAGTGACAACCAAAAAGTTTAGTGGTAGTTTATTGGCAGACTATGCAATGTTGCTGTTGACAGGCCAAGAGATCATCAAAAATGATAGTGTTTCTTGGTAGACTGACATGTTATTGCATCCACACACTAGTGAACAGAATAAGTTATACAGTGTTTAACTGACAAGTCATGCTGCTGTTTGCCAATAGCACTTGCATTTATTGTAATTGTCACAAAGATACTAACAATTCTTTAATTTTTTCACAATTTTTTCACAATTTTATTAATTGACTTGTAAGAATATGAAAAGCTCTGTAGAGGTCACGGACTTCTGGGAAAATAATATAGTTTCACAATGCAGAAGGGAAATTTGGTCATTAGAATCTGTTGATGTAAGTTTCTTTTGCTGTTGCAAATGTCATTATTATTGATGTATTGTATCTCATTTAATTGTTTTTCTACCAGTGGGACTATTTATACAATCATGATTATGAACTAAACAATCATTTTAATCATCAATTTTGACTTGGAATACTTTAATGGATAATTTGTGGGTGCAATATGTCATGCATGCTTCTTGACTACAGAAAGTCATCTGTTGACAAGGCTTCCACACACAACATTGACCTTTATCTTTGCTGAAAAATTGTGAGTATTGCTCTTATTAAATTTCTTGGCTTTAAAATTTTCTATATTAGTGTGATTCACCAGTTTTCTTTTGTAGATCACTAAACCATATTTACTTGTTTGAAGAGGAAAATCCATTTTTGGTGTCCATAACAATTTGACCCATAACTATGGAGTTCACTGTTCAAAGAGCTTAGAGAAAATTTTACTGTAACACATTTATCAAATGATGAAGTCTTGAAGTGCAACCAGATTTCCAGGGTAGTTGTTTATATTATTTGGACTTATAGGTTTCCTTTGCTAATATCCTTGACTCTTGATACAACTAGACAACAAGAAAAAACATAAAGGAATCCAAATCATTGATCAAGGATTTGCAGTGCACAGTTACAGATGATGTTGATTTGAAGGTACTTGATGCGATGTAAGCCATGTTTTACTAGCTTATAATAACCTTGTTAGGCTTGTTTGGAAATTGAAAATCAATATTTAACATATTTTTATTCTCTGCTTAAATCAACTTTCTTTAAAAAGAAGCACAAATAATATAAATGAGGATACATTTTCATCACATCACTGCTCTCATCAATATTCATTAATACTGAATTTCTTGAATGCAAATTGTAATTATTCTCTATAATTTTTTCTTCCTCAAATGTTACAATAGTATTTTATTAAATAGATAATGCCAGGTCCAGTAATGCATTGAATGCTTCATCACATTGAAAACAAAAATTTGACCCTTGCCTTGAAGGAAGATGGCCAGACTTCTCTGCGCATGTCTGGATATAAACATAAAGCACATCTACTAATAGCAGAATTTAAACCACCAAGAAATAAAGATCAAAAGTTATGGAATGATCTAGTTAAATTAGGCAATGAAATGAAGGATGCAATTGATAAGGCTATAGATGACAGTGTAGATGGAAATGTGGCAGAGTGTGGCAGGGTTGGCAAATTGACTGGTCCATTGAGAACTGATGGGCTTTGGACTGATCCATTACCATTAATAAAATATTAAATATGGTTAAAGTGTTACACTAATGAACACAATGGACCATCAATAGGCCATAAATGGGCCACATATTTTCCAACCCTGGTGTGTGGTATTCTGGTGCGAGGCAAATATTTAATTATAGGTACATTTCTTTCCAATTTCAGGAATTCACTACTTTTATAATTAATTAGGTACTCAATGTGACCTTTTTTTTATGGATTTGAAATTTGATGCAATTTATAGAATGATTTGTTTAGGTCATTTTTATTTGCAAAGATATCAACATTTTCTTTTTGAAGCATCTAAACCTGGTGTGGTAAAAACTCAGGAAGTTGCTAATGAATTCAATTTATTGAAAACTAGGAAAGCAGATATTTTTGAAGAAATTAAGACTATTTATTTTAGTCTTAACACCCCCTTATCTGGATTACAAGTGGCAAGAACAACTTTATAACAATATCTGTCCATTGGTAAAGGATGAATTTAAAGATATTACTTGTCTGAAACCAACATAAAACTTTCATAAATGTATCAAAATAATATATTATGGTAGTAAAAGAAATTCCAGCACCTGAAAATAATCAAGAATTATACAATTAGTGGAGTTGATTAAGAATAAATGTCCAATAACAGATAAATATATAGATGGTATAATTGTTAATTTAATAATTACAAAATTGAGATCACAAAAAGAAAACTTAGAAGTAGTAAAGTATGAATTAACTAAGGGAAAAGAAAGAATTGAAAAAGATTATAAAAACCTTGAAAATAACATTTCTGAATTAGTTTCAAAATATTATGAGCCAACTGATGAAGAAATAAAAACAGATAAAGATAATTGAAAAGAAGAATTTATTACACAATTAAGAAATGAAGAGAGAAATAGCAAAATAATTAAAACTTTTGAAAATTGAAAGCAAAAAACTAAAGAGGCAAGAGTAGATGCTGAAACTCACCTTGAAGCCTTAATAGTAGCCCAAGAATGAAGAGAAAGACAATTGACTAGAAATTAGAGCAATTAGAAACAGTTAAGAATCAGGAGATAAGTTGACAAGCCAAAGCAATTCAGCAACTAAAACAAAAACTACATTCAGCCAACAAATCTTTACCAGCATTACCAAGGAAAAAGAATAAACTACTACAGTTTACAAAAAGATAAGTGAGAAAACCCACTTAAAAAGAAACAAGAACAAATAATTGAAGTAAAACCTAAGCAAGTCAAACCAACCCACATTAATTCTTTTTTACCAAGTCTTTTTTTAATTTCTTTAATTTTTTAAGACATGCTCATCTAAGTAGTAAATTATTTCCCTTCCAACTTTCTTTTATTTCTAAATTCTTCACGATTTTGTGGAAATGTTCTTTTAATGGTTATGATTTCCCTTTCTTCTTGGTAAGCTTCATAAGTAGTCCTTTCTTTTCTTAGATAAGTTCCAAGTGTTTGAGTATCATTTATTTTGAAAACATGAGGCAATTTTTTCACCTTGTTCTTTCTTCAAAATACCTCTAATGGTACTGTAATTTTTGGGCTTCATAATTAATGATACCTGACGAAATGTTTTTGTAGGCGGGAAATTATTTTGTCAAATCATTGTTAATTTTGTCACATTTGGCGAAATGGTAAAATGTGGTAAATTGACGAAATGTGACGAAAAGAGGAAAATGTGACAAAAAGAGGAAAATGCAACGAAAAGGGGAAATGTGACGAAAAGGAGATATTATAAACAATTCTAAAAATTATAATAATTACAAGAACTTGCAATAAAACTTTTTTCTGTTGTTCCACATAGTGCTGGCTGCGAGCGAAAATTTTCAAATTTAGGTTGGTTATATAGTACAAGAAGGCATAATTTCAATTTAGAAAAAGTAGAAGATATGTCAAAAATCTATAGTTATTACCTTGCACAAACTAAAAAAGAAATTCAATATTATGGGCAGAAATTATCAGAAGAAGAGCTTAAAAAATTAATAAATGATACAGGACTTATTTCTGATGATAGTGATGATGATGATGATGATGATGATACAGTGAATGATTTTTCTAGTGAAGATGAAGAGGTATTAAATAATATACAGAACCAATTTCTGGATATATGTGAAATCATGGATTTAAATAATGAAGTATTTTGTGATAGTAATGCTGAATCTTCAGTTGAAACTAATCAAGATGAATCAATTTACGAATTTTCTGATAATAATTATGATCCAAGAGATTTAGTAAAAGATACCTTTGTTGAAGAAGATGAATTTGAAAGTGAACATAATTCAGAAAATAGTTATTTTCATGATCATTGCGAAGTTAATGAAACTGATAGAAATAATTATTTAGAATGAGAATGTTATGATATTGATAACAATTCTGGAAATAATACAAATGAAGATGAAGATGATGATAATAATTCTCAAAAATTATTTAGAAAAAATACAAGCTAGAAGAAACATAATTTACGTAGCTCATCCAAATTTGACTCGGATAAAAGAGTAAAAAAATAAAAATTTATTAAATTTTCTCTTTATATTTTAAATTTTAAAAACAAGTTTAAATAAAAATTATCATTGCAGATTATTACAAAAATTTCTTTATGAAAATGGTTATATTTTTCTCTCTTGCCAATTTTTTCTTTTCGTCAACTTTTCCTCTTTTTCCTTTTCGTCAATATGCTCTTCGCGGTAAATTACATTTCGTCATGTAACATTTCGTCAGTTGACTAAATGTCGATCATTTCGTCAGGTATCATTATGTACATTCGAAGTAGTTCTCTCGAATAAAATAATAGTTATTAATAACAAGTTTCGACTTGATAAACTCGTATCAAATTAATTCCTAAACCATTCATTGGTAAGGGATTATTCAAACTTTTACTAATTTTAATGGGCAAAAAAACTTCTCACAAACCTGTTTCAAAACTAGATTTTTATTAGGCGTTAATAATTATTAATATTAATAATAATATATTCATACTAATATTGGAACGACGATAATTTTGTCCCCTCGAGCAGTCTAACGCATTAAAACACAAATTGACAATTTCCAAAGCAAATCGTCAAAATAGCTTTTGGCGAGAAACTATCTTTAGCCAATATTTTACCACCCAATACTAAGTCAAAGTTTCGACATACATTATTAACTACGATCATATTTAACAACGAATTTTTATTAATAGTTATTTATCAGATTTTTTTGATAATAAATATGGATGGTTAAGAATTACTTTTCAATTACAAAAAAAAATAAGAAACAAAATTTATTTATTTCGTGGCGGATTAAGAATTACATTAAAATTAGAAGCACAATTATGAGCAAGTGGAAAAGCCTTCGATATTATATTAAATCATCTAATTTCTGTACAAATGTTTAAAATTGGCTAATAAATCTTGAATCCGCAGCTTATTTAGTACGACGTTATCATTTTCAGAAATCATATCTTTGATAATTTTTTTCACATCCAACCATCGTCTTCAAAACTTGGTAAATTTGTTTTAATGATAGTGTATATATTCAAAAACACCTTTATCAAAAATAACCGATTGCGGAAATCTTCCCATTTGTAACAAATAGGAATACGAATAATTATTATTAGTATATAAAAAAAACCCATCGAATTTGACTTTAATATTATTAATATTATATTCTATATATACTTTTTAATGATATGTATGTCAAACCCACCAATAAAAATTTAAAAAAAGTAAATGTAGCGTAGGTTTTGATTTCTTTAAAAAAAAATGTGGATCAATACCCACAATTTAAAAAAAATGTTTCAGTAAATGTTTCGTAAATTTTCATATTAATAAATAAATATTGTTCGATTCAATAAATATTTATATTTAAATAATAAATATGCCAAAAGAAATTAAACAAAAAACTAAACTTGTCGAAAAAGAGAAGTTTTTATTCTTTTGTTATTTCTTTTGTTTTAATAATACTAATTCATGAATATTGAAATCATAAAGGAAAAAAATCAGCATCAAGATTTTGATAAAAGCAAATAAAATTAATAATTATAAAAGCATTAAAAATGATACTTTTAAGGATAAAACCATTACTTAAACGTATGTTAGATAATGTTAATGAAATTATATCATGAAATTTCATAACAAGAATCCAAAAGAAGAATTTGAAAATTTTATTTGTAATTTAATTTAAATAATGAATATTATTACACCAGCTAAAGTCGTATTTCCTTCCTTTTCTACCAAATTTCAGATTTTTCATCTGCGTTAAATATAATTTCGATGTAACAGAACTTCATTGCCTTTTTTTTTTTGATACAAATGAGAAAAAATAAACGTATGAGATTACAAATGCATACTAATTCAAGTTTAATCCTGCATTAGTCAAATTGGAAAACAAACATTTTATTTATAAATTTTTCCCAGTGAGATACATTTTCAATTTAAAAAATGACCTTTAGGATTGATTCTGGATTTTGTAGAATGCAAAATGATATTTAAAATAAAAAACAAAAAAAAAAAGAGAAACACTTTATGAAATAATACAACGGTTTGCCTCTAAATCATTTATGGACTTTTGTACAAGTGCATAAATGGATAGGCTAATGATCTTTATACTTTGATTCTATTCTACGACTTGTTTAGTATGCCGTGTTATTGGTAGATTATGAACGACCTTTTTTTCATGATTCAACGAGAAAATTTATCATTTTCAGAATCATATCTTGATAATTTTTTCACACTCATCATTTCTTCAAACTTAATAAAATTTGTTTTAATGATAGCAATATATTCAAAACACCTTTATCAAAGAATTGATTGTAAATTCCAATTTCTAGATCAGGAAATCTTCCATTTGTAGCAAATAGGAATAATTTTAAAAAACGAATTTATTTACATATTAATTCTATATTATATACTTTGTGAATAAAAAATTTTATTTTTATTTTCTCTTTTTAGTATCTCTTATCTTATCATTATTAATATTGTTGTTATAATTAATATTGTCATTGTTATTAATATTGTTATTGTTATTAATATTGTTTAAAAGGTATATTTAAAACTTGCTTGTTAAAATATTTTTCAATCAAATTGATAAATATTAAAAACATGCCAAAAGAAAAGAAAAGAAAAACTGACGAAAATATGAATATTGAAAAAAAGAAAAGAAAAACCGACGAAAATATGAATATTGAAGGGAAAGATGAGGAGATTAACATCGAGGATTATTTGATTCCAATTGATGAAATTGATATTGATGATGAAAATTTGAATGTAAAAATAAAAGAAGGATTGAAAAATGTAATTAAATTTTGTCTTCATTATAGAATTAAGGAAAATTCTAAGATCGTTGAAAAATATTTATATTATTTGGAAAAAACTGAAACTGCAACAGATAGCAACCATTACATCATTGTTTTTGTTGCAATAAGGTATTATAGAGAAGAACCAGAAAAACGTGATACTTACATGGACAAACCTTATCTTAAAAGTATGTTGAATAACCTTAATGAAGCTTATCACGAAATTGCAAATCAAGAATTGCATAGAAGGAAGTGCAAATTTGATAAAAATTTAAACGATAAATTTGATTCACTAAAAGATAAATTCAATCAGCGTATGAAACTTTGCAGATAAAGTTGAAGGCCATCTTGCTCTTTTCTTTTCTCGATTTCCTATTTTTATAATAAAATTTTTTTAAATGCAAATTAATAATAATAATTACTCGAGTGTATTAAACATGATTACCATTAGTATTTGAGACTTTTCATAATAACTCTTAATTTTTTATAATCATCCTTAATTTGTTGATATTGTTTTTTTTTCAAATAAAATTTTTTTCATTGATTCAAATAAATCGAAAGTTCACTAAACATTTCAAGTGAAATTATGTCGCAGTTCGATGATTTCTTTTGTTATATATGTCCAGATTTTCTTCCATTAAACCGTCATATGTATAGATTTTTTGTGATTTTTAAATTTAATAAATATCATATTCATTGTTATTTTTTTCCTTTTAAGTTTACTAAATTGCTTGTAGGAACGTCTCCACTTGTACAAAATAGTGAAAATGATTTTGCTGATATTGGTCTGAATTCAACAAAGATTCCATTTTTTAATTAGAGTATATGAAATTTGTATATAACAAGAGAATATTGATAAAACTCACTTATAAAAGCAATAAATCCATAACTTTGATACACTGTCCTTTTTCTTCCTGTTTTCTTTAAAAGAAATTAAGGCTTTTAATCATGTTTTCTTCCTCTAGATCTAAAGAACGAAGAATTTCTCTAACAAAGAAAATGTATTAGTATGTACCATGAGGTTGCAACGATGGAATTTCACGTTTAGGTACAGCATAAAAAATTAAATTGACACCGAATATTATCATTAGTTGGACATGTATTCTTATCTAAATATTCACTTAAGTTTTTTTTAATTTCTTGGGATTCCTGCTTCTGATTTGCTCAGCTTCATTTATTAAAAAAAAAATGTTTAAATTACCCTCACTTGAATGCCATCATTCTCATCCTGTTGTAACATAAACAATCTCCCAAAAAATTTCGCAAAATCTAATAATTTAATATCTTTCGTTCTCTTTTCTTAATTGTTAATTATGTGAAAACATCCATGAATACCTCTTTTTATTGTAACTAATACCATTTATAATTTGGAGTTTATGATTATAGATAATCTACAAAAAAATTTAGAAAACACGCATTTTTTATTGCATGTTTTTCA